GGGGGCTCAAATATGGGGCATCCCAAGAGATGCGCACCATCCTGGATTTCATCAAAACCAGCTACCGTACAGTTACAAAGTTCTATCTGCATGGTGCCTAGCTTTTAGAAATTTGACGTAGAAAACTAATTTGAGTTTCACAATATTATGCCAAGCTTTTTCTATTACAATTCTTTGAATATCTATAGAACGATTTCGAATTATCTTAATATTTTTACAGTGCAGATAGAACATTATGGTTTTTTAACCTCGTGGTGGTAGTAACTCAAAATGGCCAAAATTGTAAGATAGAACTTTGTAATTCTAAGGCAGCGATTAAGCTATGATAAATGCTCGAATAAAGCTCCCTTACCAACAATTCGAGCTTTGTCTCTCTAGAGAAAACCGTCTTTGACTAACATAGGCCATACCTGAATGTTTCATGGGTGATATTTTAGTACCATGAGCGTGTAGTTATTGCAATATCTAAATCGTCAACGGGATCGTACGCGACTTTTATGAAGAAGGGTTTTTTTTTCAAGAGTGTGCTCGATTTCTTGGACAGCCTGTATATTGATCTTCACCGATAGGCCTGTGTGTCATAATCTATGTGCGTTCGTGAGTGATTTTGCTTGTTCTGGCTTTGTGGGATGTATTATAATAATAATATTATGAGAGCTGCCGTTGTTTCTTTACAGCAAGAGAGTAGCTTAGTAATACGTAGTTGTTGAAGTCGCACCAGAGGACATGAGAGGTTGGTAGGAAGGCGCCTCTGGAAGATCGTATGCTTTTTTTTTTTTATTTCCGCCAGTCTGTCTTACTTTTCTCAGCACGTAACTGCTGCTGTTGTGTCGATGTGTTTCTCTCTTCAATCATAATTATTTTGTAGAAGTTTTACATCCCTCCCTCCCCGACTCCCCAATTAAAACAATAGTTTAGATCATTTAGAAGGCGGGCTGCTTCTCGAAAGCCTGTCATGTCAACGAGAGCGGAGAGTGATACAATGTCCCAGCTGACATTCGGCTGACACTCAGTAAGAACCACCCTCACGCGGGAATCGAACTCAAGTCTTTTGCAAGCGACGAAGAAGGGCTTAACCGCTACACCACAAAACCGGTCCTCTATGTACTCATGCAAATAAAACAGAATGGAAGCTGACAAAAGTTCCCATTGTAGACGACATGGATGGACGTGACATTTTGGCATGCCGTTACAACAGATACATGATTGTTTCTTCGGTGCATGATTCTCTTTTGTTTTGTGCACGTGAATAACTGGGAATAGGTTTTGGAGTGGAGGTTGAATAGGGAGGAGGGGGCGTTTAGGTAGGAAGGGCAGAGGTAGAAACGTGTATTCATAGGAGCTGTGATAGAGATAGAGAAAGACACTGATACGATGACGGTCATTTAGTGCTGGGAAAGAGCGAGATAGACAGACAGTAACAACAAAGGGAAGGAAAATGAGTCGGATGTTTGCGTCAGTTCCACGCAGTTCGTTGTTAGATCTATCTATCAGGTTCTTTGTGGCATTGTCTAACCTGACAGTTGCTCCTGAACTCTCCCTGTCACAGGTCATTGACCCATGCTTATATCATGTCAGATAGGCGTGTATGCTTCACGTTTCATTCTCCATTTTCTTTTCAGTAAGTGTTTTGCGACACTTGCGCAACGCAATTAGGTCATATACGTGCTGAGGATTAGAGGTGTTACAAGAGAGTAACAACACAAAAAAGGAGCGATATGGACGATAGATGCTTGATAGGAAAGAAGGAGCAAACCACACCCGAGAACCCGCCAATCATCTACAACAACCGCTATAGCAAGATTGACGACCGGCGTCCGTGGTGCAGAGGTTATTGTGTTTCGCTATCGCACGCAGGAGACCCGAGTTCGTTTACCTAGTGGGGAGATTTTTTGTTAAATCGGGTATCTCGGTGTTTCTGAATGCTGTGATGTTGTGTCTTTCTCCCTCGGGGTTGGCCCTTGCAGTCAGAGTCGAAAGCCCGCCTCCTAAATCATCTAGTTGTGTCGACGGAGAGTGAGATCACTTATACATGTATATAATTCTTTTTTTAATTGAGCGACGCTAAATTCAGAAGACCTGCGCCTGAACAGAAGACCTGTGTCTGAATTCAGACACAGGTCTTCTGAATTTAACGTCGATCAATTTTTTAAAAATCACAGTTTGCTGAGGCTTTATTCTCCATTTTCAAAATTTTAGAACGATCGAAGACAGGCTATGAATTCGGAAAACCGGCTTCTTTAAAAAAATGGTTTTTTTATATTTCTACTTTGCTGAAAGAATCTTCAACGCCTCTGTGAAGAGATAAAACTGGCAAATCTAATAAGCGGCAGTATTTTCCGGGAACCAGCTCTTTTCTCAAGAGTGCAGCAATTTAATGAAAAATCAGGTTCAAAGGATAGAGTAAATTAACTTCTAAAATAAGTGCTGAACCTTTTTACTTCACATTGCTGCCTGGCTGGATCCATTTTTCCAGAATTACTGTTGCAATTATGTTGAACTATTAACTGGGTGCAGTGAAGAGTTCGGTCTAGTGCACTGATACATATGTGTGGTGTTGAGGTTAGGCGCTTCCTGTTGCGAACAAAAGACTTGAGTTCGATTCCTTAGCAGAAAAGTTATTCTACCCGTCCGTGTACTGAGAAGTAGCATACCACTTCAGCCCGGTTTAGGCCATGCAGTAGGGTAGAAGCAGCCTGTCGCCTATATCATCGAAACCATGGCGATAGAGCGTTAGATGTTTAAAGCCATTACCAGATCAATTTAGTGTACGTATTAAATATGAAAAAAACGTGTTTTTAACGTTTGTGCGCTTCTTTTTACTCCGAACCATCAAGTGCTAGATGTGCGACAAACATCGGGCAATCTGCTTTCAATTTTGCTAGCGAGAGCTAGATGTTTAAAGCCTTATGTCTGTTCAAGTGTCCCAGAAAATACATTTCTATTTTCTTGATTTCTATTCCTTCCAAGAAATTCTCAGAAGTGTCTTAGAAACCACATTTCATTTGCTGCAATTTTATCTTCATTATCTTTAGTGATTTGTTCCTAATATCCAACCAAGTTATTATGATTAGTGTATATCCTGTCTCTGAATACAACGAGGGTCTTCATCTTTTTGCGAGTCTCACAGCAGAAGCGTAGAATCTAGTCCACCACGTCTACAATATCATGTTATTTGTATTCTTTGTTTTTTGTTTGTTTTGTTTGTTTGGCTTTTCTGGAGAGTTTTTCTTAAGAGGCCGTGGAGGTGAAGGTGATTTGGAGGGTGGCCGGGGAAAGAGAGAGCGAGAGATATATAGATTGATTGATTGATTGAGAGAGGGAGAGAGAGAGAGAGAGAGAGAGAGAGAGAGAGAGAGAGAGAGAGAGAGAGAGAGAGAGAGAGAGAGAGCTGTAGTAAGGCTGGGGCATGGAGATGAGTGTGGGGTAGATTGGATGCAGGCAAAAGAATAATACTATTTCCAATCAGTGCTACTATATAAGCTGTTTACGAGCCTCTAATTACAGCTAATGAAGAGTCACCACTCCCCTCACCCCCCTGCCTCCCCCCACCCTTTATCGTGTTTCTGAGGAAGATGATGTTGCTGAAGAGATGTTTTACTAGTACAACCTACTCCGGTCTTGGAGAGCCAGTATTTACCTGCCTGTGATGCAACCGCACGGAGTTCATTTAGGAAATGATTTGTTTACACACACTGACACTGGATTTCCCAGGAACAGCAAACCTTTGTCGTTATAGAATAACGAATTTCCCATTCTATTAACCCTTTAAATGCCAGATCGGAATAGTCTTGGGGTATGCAGTGAAGAGCTTAATAACATTGCGTACGATGATGGAACACTGTAGTAGCAGTAGTAGTAGTAGTAGTAGTAGTAGTAGCAGCAGCAGCAGCAGCAGCAGCAGCAGCAGCAGCAGCAGCAGCAGCAGCAGCAGCAACAACAACAGCAGCAGCAGCAGCAGCAGCAGTAGTAGTAGTAGTAGTAGTAGTAGTAGTAGTAGTAGTAGTAGTAGTAGTAGTAGTAGTAGTAGTAGTAGTAGTAGTGGTAGTGGTGGTGGTGGTGGTGGTGGTAGTAGTAGTTACATCTAGTTGTATTCTAGATCAGGAATTTATTGCTAAAAGTTCTGTGATTGTGATGCAATGGGTAGGCTCTTCGCCGTTTCATGCAGAAGACGTGAGTTCTATTCCCACGTGAGGAAGTTGTTCTAACCAGTAGCCCCGTCTTTCTGCTGGGATGCTGTATCCCATTCAGTCCTGGATGGTCCTCACAGACAGTGTCGAAACAGCCTGCCGCTAAACCCTATCCGTACGCCCTGGAGTCTTTTTTTTTTTGTACTCCCGGGGTTGTATTCTTCATATTTTAGAATACTTCTAGTACGAAGACCTCTTTGAAACTTTCAGTATTTTTCAAAAAATCACTGTGACAGACTGCTATGCAAAGCGTACGCATCGGATTAACGAGTAAATTTCCTCTTTGGAAAGTGATCGCACAGAGTTACCCACGTCGTATTGATACGATTATAAAACTCGACGTACAAATAGGGTTAAGCCATGTAAATTGTGTCAGCTTTGTTTTTGGTTGTGTTTTTGCTTTTGGTCCTTTGTGTGTGAAGGTGGGTTGGGGGTGATCGTAGGGAGAGAGTGTAAAGCTTGTTTACAACAAGTCATTAGTTGTATTAACACTCTTTAATTTTAGTTCGACTGCAACACAAATAGGCCATATAAGGGCCGAAGATTATGAGTAACATACAAGGAAAAGAAGAAGGAAAACAAAGAAGGAAAAGGACATTAGGTGTTTGTTAGGTAAGAAGGAGCAAACCACGCCAGAGCATTCTCCAACCACCCACATTCACAAGTTCGGAAGTGGAATGCCGTGTTTGGTATCTCATTTTTAATTATATAATTCTGAACCCACTATCAAAGATCAGAAACTATAGAATAGTTCACCCCCTAAACTTGAAGAATTTAACAGAAAAACATTCCCCAAAAGATGCTGGAGGTGACATTAATCTGTATACTAGCACGTCTTATTCAATTTCAGAGAGTGGTGTATCTTACGCACATTGAGCGGAAGCAAAATATTTTCTTCAAGAACTTGTTTGATAAAGAAAACAAATTTCATTGTTCATATTAACGCTAGTGATGAGATTTGTAAAAGTGGTCATCGATTCTTTGTACTGTCTTTTTGTGTACCTTTTAAAAAATCGACAGAATTAACGCTCTACCTATCGAAAAGGTTTTGCTTGATCTTAAAAAAAACGAAAACTATTGTGAAAACGATAAAAACTGTAAAGCTATCCCTGCACTTTCTTAAAAAATACTCGGTCCATTGTCCAGGGTCGGAAAGGGTTAAATAATTTTAGGTTGTGAAACATCCCATAATATTATTTATTCCTGCAGCAACGTTGTGTATCTGCAAACAAGCATCGCCCAGGTATAAGGGAACTGATATTGTCAGGCTGTTAGTCTGGATAAGATTTTGTTCATTTTAAATTACGGTGTACCTTTGAATCACTTATCAATATATATATATATA